CCTCTAATCAATTCTGCATATTTCAACCATCCAAACATTTCTTAATGTTAACTGTTCCACAAATAGTTCACAGTTAGACTTACTATATAGACCAACAAAATTTTTCTAGAAATCTATCCACAATGCTTTAAAAATCATTTATTTTTTAAATTTACTATACTTTTTTCTTTATACCTTAGGTTTGATTATTTCATCCTTGAATCTACAAAGTAACTATGCTAATAGTGTCTTTTAAAGTTCTAAGCAGCCAATCTTACATGGTAAATACTATATTCAGAAAGTTATGCATGTTGTTTCTGAAATAATGCTTTTTCTTAAAATTTTGCAGCACATTATAAAGCTACAGTTAGAACAACTTCTACTACTAAAGTTCTGATCATAGCAAACACAAACCCTTAGATAATATCTGATTTGTACCAGTCAGTTATCACTCACATAATAATCTTACAAGGTAGGAGCTGTTATTAACCCCTTGTAAAAACTGGGAAACAGACTCCAACAGTGTGTTTCTATCTCATAGCAATCATAAAACACCACTATGCAGTTGGGAAACGGATAACCCAACTCCTCCTTTATATTCATGCCACTTTACAATTACTCAAGAGTGCTAAGAATTTAAGAAGTACTTATTTTAAAATTTTTGTAAATGCCTCCAACTCTTTAAAATAATGGCATAAATATCAATAGAATAACTGCATGTGTAAGAAAAGTTGAAACTTTACTTCAGTCCTTCAAGGAAATGTACTATTCCCTTTACATTTAACATTATTTCTTCATTATAATGACTGAGACATTAAAACTATGTTACGAAGACTACCAAGCAAAACTTACAATTTCACTGATACTCTATTAAAAACAGAAAAATAAGTCTACAAGACATTTACTTCATTATATGCCACCACCCTCCAAAATTGAAACTGGTTAAATTTTGACAGTACTATATAACATGTTAAAAATGATTTTGAATTAGGGATTCCCATTCCAGATAATATGGATATGAAAAATGGATAATATGAATCCCTAATTCAAAATCGTTTTAAACATGCTATTTTTTTTTAACTTAAAACTGGTCTCCTAGGTTTTATACCTACACTTTCACATTAATCAGCATACTCTAAGTACTTAAGTAAATCCTATTCAAGACTTCTATTGATCTCTGAATTTAAAACCACCAATGATTTGTGAAACTAGTACTTAAACCATGGTGAAATCATACTAATTATAAAAAAAGTAGTCTACAAAGTGGTCTTGCCTCAAAAATCTTCATCTTTTCAAGGAAAAATGATACAACTTAAGAATGGCGCTACAAAAAATGTTTATACAATTTCCTAATATGAATGATTTGTCTAGGTCTACTTTTCTGTGTTTTACATAGTAACTCCAAATTTAAAAAGCTGAGCTCTTCGAAACAATGCATTGCTACTTATAGTTAAAAATCAGATTTCAATCCATTTATTTTATAACAATGAGATAACAGGAGCCCAGAGAAATTTCTGACTTGTCAGAGGCTAACCTGCAGAGAAATTTCTGACTTGTCAGAGGCTAACCTGCACGCAAACTATTGGCAGAGCTAGGATCACAATACACAATCTCCCTATTTCCAGTACTTTCCCTTGAACACAAAGATTTAGATTTCTAATAAAGTGGAATCATTTTTTAAAAGCAAATACCACTACAAAAAAAATTATAATAATTATATCTAACAGATTAGCAAAACATTAATAGTTTGGAAAATACCTTGCAAGCAAGAAATATAACCAGAGTCCCAAACCTGGCAAGAACACTTAAAAATTCTGCCTTAAGATCTCGTAAGTATGCAACTTAAATATGTCATCACTACTTAAGGTGACAACTAGAGTGAAATTTAATAAACCAATTTCACTGTCCAAACTGAAAAATAAATAAATGACAAAGATGTCTCTTAGCTCCAAAATTAGTTTTCTTATTCTGTAAAGTTTGCCTCCTGCCTGACTCCATTTAAAAAATAAGAATTCCAATGAAAGTTTAAAAAAATGCCCGTTTGATTTAAAAGCAACCTCATCCTTAAAAAAACAAAGAAAGAAAATCTGATTAAATATATACTACTGGGCTAAAAATAAAATAAAAATGCTTTAACTTCCTATCAAATTCCATCCACTGTTAAAAATGTTTTGTCTTGAGTAGAGGATAATAACCACAATCTCCTTTTACAATACCTTGATCAATGACACTTGAAATACAAGTATTAATTTTTCTTTTTTACCCTGGAAACTTTTAAACTGCTCTTGAAACTCCATTTTCTGCTTGGTCAAAACTCAACTACTGTGAACTTTATCTGTAACCTGACTTCAGATGCTGATGTATGTCTTTTAAGTTCTCCGGTACAAATATTATACCTCACCCTAAATAGCTGTAATTTGAGATTCTCCAGAAATTTCAATTTGACATACAAATTCTTACATTTAAAATATTACCCAATTTATCAGTTAACACAAGCAACGAATTCCCAAGTAGATCATGCTACTGAAACCACAAACAATAGTTGTTATTTTGGCTTCAAACACCAGAATAATCTTCAAACCAATGTTAAATTCAACTTGATAGGAAATAAAACTTTGTCTTAAGAATAAATTAAGACAATAGAGAATGCTGTACAAGAGGCTTTGCATGTGCTCACCTAGCTCACCACAGAATTTCAAAATCCTACTGTTAAACCAAAACGTGCTCAAATACCTAGGGTTCCAAAATGTTTTTAGAGCTAACTAAATCTCAATCCAAAGTCAAACAAAATTAAACCAAATACCACACAACTAGATACAAGTTTGACAGATAAGAAAGCACCTCAAATGGTGCCTCCAATCCAGTTATACAGACTGAACAAATGAAAGGAAAAAATGTGCCAGAAGAACTCTGAAGTCTAATGGGAATCCTTAACTACCTCATGAGCATGCCAACATGACTCCTCTGGTAAAAACATTTGGCAACACTAATCAAGAAACACCGCTTCCATCCAAAATAGGTGGATTCTGATAAGATAAAAGACAGAACTTATGGTATCCCAAATCTGATGAAGAGACGAGGAATATAAACTCATCAATATTTGAGAGATGAGAAATTCACTCAAAAAAGTTTAAAGACATTGGTAACCTTGTTTTTATTGGAAAATTAAATGATATTCCTACAAGGATTAGACAGTCTTACAATCTGGCCAGATACCATTGGCCGCTTCATTTAAAAAATATAAACATAAAATTAACCAATAATCTCCACATTAAAAAAAACACGGCCACCTTCAGTGACTTGGGGTTTGGGGGGTTTTATGAAATGTAAACGTGAGTTTGGTTAAAACAGGCCAAGATGAGTTTTGTCTGTCCAATTCTTTAAAATGGAGTATTACAATCTTAATAATCCTTTAATAAGAAAAACATGGACACCCATGTAAGATTTTTGTCACGTATTTACAAACCTAAAAATTAAATATTGCTGTTACTGAACCTTGAAGTTTGCTTCAAATTCCTTTCATTTTAGCCTAGCATTGAGTAACACTAGGCGAAATCACTACATACTTGAAAACTGTTTTATGGAAATGAATGCGCTATTAAGTCTCCATTAAATTAACTAAACCTGAGTACGTTCATTTCAATACCTGGGAACACTTACCAACAACCTATATTAAAATCTTAACACATTTACATAGGACAGTTAGATGTTGTCTATACGCAAATGAAAGAAGAGCTATCAAAAATCTTGTCATGCCCTCAAACTCACGGAAGACATTCAAAGCGAGTTGCAACTTCCTGATCCTTTCAGAAGCCCTCTTGAGGTAACCTTGTAACTGTCTCAAAACATCAGCTGCAAACATCTTGGAAAAACCAAGGCACTGCAGAGATTTCAAAGGCTTGCTCTTTGCCCCCGTGACTGCCTGAACTGCCCAACACACACAGAAACAGACCACCTCCATGAGTTCAAGAGCAGAAATTAGCACGAAATACAAAACTCGCCAATACAAATATCCTACTGGGCCCTTCACAATACTTAAAGGTGATAAGTCCACTTTCAATTTTTTTAGAAATGACTAAAACACTCACTTCGAAAACCCATAAAATTAAGACAGAGCTATTTTTGAACCTAAAAAACAAAAGACGTCCCGCTAGAAACTGGAAAAGTTTTACTTGCCCATCTCCACTCCGCAGTTAAGTATACGGATAAAATTAAAAAAAAAAAAAATCAGAACTCTTCAGTGGCATCCAACACTAGCTTTTAATTGAACGAGGAGCTTAACGCGAGAATGAGCAAAAGGATAAAAAAAGCCTGGTTCAACGCCTGGCTTTAGGGTTTGCAGGCTTTCCACTTCCGTGGAAAAAAAAAAAAAAACCTTGGGCAGATAGATGCAAGAGGTGCCGATGGCCCACGATCATCGCACATCCGAACCCTTCCGATCAAAAAAATATGAAGGTAAGAAAGACCCCCCAAAAAAACGAGATTAAAAATAAAAAGGGCACACACGTCTTGCTGCGGTTCCGCCGCGGCTGAATAGCCCGCTTGTGAAATGCTAATGCCACTTCGGAGCAGTTAGTCACCAGCTATTGTGTGCGGCCGGAGAAAGCCGTGCCGAGCGCGCGTGCAGAACGAGCGCGCCCGCCTCCCTCGCGCCGCTCCCGCCGCCGTCGCCTCGCGCGCGCCCCCGCGGCCGCACGGACGCGCGCGCCGGCCCCTCCTCCTCCGGCCTTGCACTGCACAACACTCATGACGTATCTTTATTTCTAGCACGTTAACAAAATATCGCAAATAAATCGTCGGCAGCCCCTGCAGCCCCGGGGTGCGGGTCCCCCCCCCCGCACCACTAGGCCCCTGCAAGCCCCCCGCGCCGCCCCTCCCCAACCCTCCCCGGGGGCCTCGGGAGCTTTCGGGTTCTGGGGCCAAGTTTTTGTCTCGGTTTAAAAAAAAAAAAAATTGCGGGAAATTCAATTTTTATTCGACTCGGGGAAAAGTTTCTTTGCTCCGCGACGTGAATGTCTCACCAGATTCTGGTAGGTCCTGGGATGCTCCTTGCCGGTCCAGTCGGTGCGCCGGGGCAGCAGCTGCGGGGTGCAGGGGGGGAGAGGACGCCCCGTGAGCCCGGCCCCCCGCGCCCCGGCCCGCCCGCGCCCCTCCCCCGCCCGCCCCGCGCCCCCGCCGGGGACCCCCCCCACCCCCGAGCCCCGCGCGCCCCGGGCGTCCCGGCGGCGGCGGCCCAAGGGCGGTCGCGCGGCGTCGCGCCGCCGCCGCCCTTACCTCCTTCTCGGCCACCTCGCGGATCAGCACCTGCAACAACAAAGCGGGGAGAGTTGAGCCCCCCGCGCCCCGGGCCGCGGCCCCGCCGCTCCCGCCGCCGCCGCCCTCCCCCACGCCGCGAGCGCCGAGCGCCGGCCCGGCCCGCGCCGCGCGCCGCCGTCTACCTGAGCCGCCTGCTGACAGGGTCCATCTTCCAGGAACCGGGCGATGAGGAAGTAGAGCTCTGCGCGGGAGAGAGAAGGACACGGGGGGGAGACACACACAGGCTGAGCGGCCGGGCGGCGGCGGCGGGGGGCGGGGGTCCGCGGGCGGGATCGCCCCCCGCCTCCGGCGGCTCCGGCAAGCCCCCCGACTTACCCGATCGCAGCTCCGAGAGGCCTTTCCTCTCACGAGACATGTTTATGGGTCACTTCGGGGCCGCAGGCGGGACGCCCCGCCGCCGAGGGGAAGCGGGGACGGGGCCGCCGCCTGCCCTATAGCTGTCAGTGTGTGTTCACGAGCCCGAACCTCGGCTCCACCATTCAAGCGACGGCGGCGGAGGCGGAGGAGGAGGAGGAGGAAACAACAACTCTCAGGCAAGCGGCTCCAGCCGCCCTCCCGCCCGCCTCCTCCGCCGCGGATCCCTCCGCCGCAGAAAGGAGTCCGCAGCCCTTCGCGGCCCCAGGCTCGGCCGGCCCGCGGCCCGCGCCCCCACCAACCCCCGGCACAGAGGAAAAAAAGGAGTGCCTCCGACCCCCCTCTCCCCGCCCGCCCGCGGCCCCGGCGCCCCCGCGACCCGGCGCGGCGAGACCCCCAGCCCGCGGCTCCCCGGGCCGAAGGTGCGATTTATTTATTTATTTCCAGTCGAAGATGTCGGAGCCGAAGCCGCCGGTTGGCTGGAAGGCGCTTTCTCTGTGGAGGCCGATCGCGGGAGGGAGGGAGCGAGCGAGCGAGCGAGCGAGGGGGGCCGGGCACGGCTCCGCGGAGGAATCTGACGCACACGGAGCCGCAGCACAGGCTCTATTCAGCGGCCGCTGGCTGGGGCTGAGATGGAAGTTAGTTTCTCTGTAGCAGAAATAGGAAACAAATGAAGCAAAACTGCCCAAAGAGGGGAAATGCCCCGAGGACGGGTCTCTCTCTCACGCGCGCGCACAGACACTACACGCAGAGAGCACTCTCACGCTGGGCAAACTCGGGATCGCGCTACCCTGCCCGAGTTGAATGATAGTGTTTGGTTTCTATCTCTTTGCCATGTGCATGTGTATAAATGCTGCGGATGGGCATCTGTGTAAGTCTTGTCCTGCGTTATTTCTGCAGCCTATGCAAAGTGTTGTGTAATTTATTGGAGTGCTGTATATTGCCATAGAGGTTTCAGGCGCTTTTTGTTAGAAGCGCTTGCGTTTGCGAGCCCGTTATTTGCTGTAGCCACCTCTGCATATCTTTTATTACTGCCATTGCCTTAAGCGTACATTTTAAAAATGTTTTTTTTTTTTATTGTTATCTGGGTACAGCGAACTCCTGATCTGTACTTCAGAGACTCTTTTTCCTCTTACAAAAAGGCTAGTAATGGCTAATTAGGGATTTGGGGTTAAAGAACCTTAAAGCTTTTTTAAGTGTTTACAAGAAGGAGTAATGTAAACCTGAGAGAAAGACAAGAACGCTAATATTTATCTCTAACTGATCTGGAGGTAATGTAGTGACAGATCAATAACCTAACCGAAGGATAATGAAAGAGTATAGAACACTTTAGTCGAGGTGATTGGTGATTAAATAATTTAAATTATCTGTGTATCTTGCAGTTGACTTCGTCACGCTAATTAATGGCTTCTAATTTGAGGTGTAAACCATTCCTGTTTACAGTTTCAAGGGGAAGACTTCTTGAAAACTGATGAAAAGAGAAAGAAAATTAATCTTTCGTAAATTAGTATGTAATTACCGGGTTTATATGCTAAATCATACGTCTGTCCTTTGCTGATGAGGATAAGGGCCTTGTTTTTTAAAAAACGAATATGGGTGAAATTAATGGAAACAATGGAAAAAGCCATTTGTTAGGCAACAAGGACACCAAGTGATATTTATCTCCAGATGATTTAAGCACTTTTCAAAAAGACTTGTGAGTTGATTTTTGTTTTTAAGGATTGCATTTTAAAGGGAATTAGGATAGTAGTTCTTTTGTTAGCATTTAACAAAAGAGGCTCCCTAAAAAAATTTAGATAATAAACTGCATTTTATGGACCCGGTCTAAAAAGGTTATTTGTGGGGAAATGACCCACAAGCTGCATTGTGGTTCTGTAGATTGCTTCCTCAACCCTTGTACCCTCCAAACTCCTTTCATTCCTAGTGGGAAATACTTGCTGCAACTGCCGTGGGCTGCATTGCAAGACTGCACCGGTGTGATGTCTTGTACTGAAACAGCCAGGAATCACCATACATGTGAAAGGGGAAAAAACACCTAAACCTCCTTGGAATAAGGGGATGTAAAAAATTGCCTTTTATAAAAATCTTAACCAAATGTTTTTAAAAAGAGAAGTTACCATGACTTGTGCTATGGCAGCCGAGTTATCAGAGTCCTGTTATTTCTTGAAATGGCTATCCTTCAAGTCCTGAAAATATTTGCATTTTTAAAGACATTAATCCATTTTATGTATTATAGGTAAAGTAACTTGCTTCTAGCTGGTTAGGTTTGAAAAGATAGACATTTAATATGCCTTTTTGAAATTCTGTTTATTTCTATGGCAAATGCTCCCTATTTTATCTTAACTTTTTAGAAGTATCTTTCTTCAATAACTGTGGGGTTTTTTTTTTGCATTATGATCTTCAAATAAACAGATTTTTAGAAACTAAAAATTACAGTTAGAATTTTGAACTTTTAAAATGCATGTATTAACCTGATTCTTACTAATAGATGTTTTATCCTTGCTATGGAAAATAAACCAAATTATGACATGGAATATAAAATTACTCTGGGTAAAGTTTTCTATATATATCTTATTAGTATTATGTAAACATGGAGAGCTAGTATGAATATCTCATGTATGCTTTTCATTTATAAGCTTTTCTTAAGTATGCTACTAGTACTTAGCTCCTAAAACAATTTTAAGGAAAATTTTCCTTGTAAATTTTCTGAATATGATGTCCCTATCATTTTGACTAACCTTTGACAATGTTTATAGTTTCTTTTTCAAAGACCTAATTTAAAGATAGTTTTAAGCCTGCCTTTAATTTATAACTATCAATCTGTTATGAGAAAATGTAGGTTAAACTGCTAAAAATGAAAACTTTTCAGCCAAATAAAACTATTTGTTTTTAACAATAGATGTTAAATTGGATTTTACTAAGTTATTCAAATGTAACAAATACTCCTTTATAACATTTTAATATTTCTTTAAAGATAAAACATTTCTGGAATCTGACATCATCAGTTAACTATAGAGTTTATTATGTCATTTGTTGTGCATGTGTACACAAAAAAGTCTGCACATATCAAATAGGAAGAAAATCTTACTTTGAAGTCCTGTATTTTAGTTCCCAGGGCAGTGACATTCTCAGCTAACTCGTTTGCACTTCTATAAGTTCAAATTCCATCTATATCCCTTTCTATTTGTTTTAACTTTTTCATGAACTTCAGAAATAAAATGCCAATTTAAAAAGATTTTCATGCTTTTTTTTTATAAGAAGGCTAACAAAAATAGTAAAAGTTTGGAAAGTCAACAACTGCTGTTTTTATATGATACAGTCTCTAGAAGACTATTCTAATGAAATAATCAAATGCTGCCATTCAAGTTCTTTCTGAAACAAGATTGGATAATTTATAAATAAAAAGATTCAACCACATTCATGAAATTTAGTTTGCCTTCACTAGTATGGTGAATTAATATGTAGCTCAAAAACACTTTACAATTACAACTTTTAAGATTATGTATTAAATCTTTTGTGTGTGTGATATGCTTTTTTAATAGCAAAAAATTTTTTCCTATAAAGTATAAAAATGGAAAAGTAGAAAACACTTCAAAAACCACCTTCTTTTTTAATCCACATCTTCCCTAACAACAAAATAACAATTGTCAAAGGAGTGTAGTTTTACACACCACACTGCTGCTTTTGGATTGCTCCCCAATATGGTTTCTGTCCATGTCAGTCTGACTTTCTACCTCTCAACATACATACTCTTTTTCCATCACGAAGGTTGAATACATATCATATTTGAACCATGTGAGCATGTATACTATGGCTGCTACAGAAAGAACAGAGATAACCAACTTTAGTAAGCTAATTCATTATTTTAATGCTTTGCATTGTCTCTCATATCTCACTGAGAAACATTTTTACTTAAATTAGAACACAATTCCTTTTCATCTGTAACAAAGATTAGCTGGTTGTCAGTAACTATATAATCCCTTACTTATTTAAATGTTATTAGTATTTTACCACTAATTTCTTTTCTTCCAAATTAAATTATTCTAGTAGCTTAGATTTTTTTAAATATAAGTCTTAGTTTTCATGAAAAGGAGAAATACATATCTTAATTGAAAAAAACATGTGTCTGTATGTCTGTGTGTGTGTGTATATATATATATATATATCTCATGAGTTAACAGTACAACTACAAAGATTAAAGGAGAAAAGCAATTTTAGAACATATTCCCCTAAGATTTGGAGCAACACAGTGGATGAAGTAGAAAAAGCTGTTCCAGATGGCAGGAAACTTAAAGGAGAAGTCTGTAGGCATGTTCTATTATATGGTGGTGTCTGATGGATTGAGAGTGGGCTGGATTGAACAGGCAACAGTGAAAGAAGAGAAGGAAAATGCAGGAGAAGAGATGCAAGACTTCAGAAGTTACTAGTGGTAATGTATTAAACAAATCATGATATTATTATTGTGATTTTAAGATGGAATTTGAGAACAGAAGTTAATGCAGTCACTTGCCTTCATATGTACCTGAATTCGTAAACTTTGAGAACTCTCAAGAAGAAAAATTATTTTATTCATGGAAAGGGACAGGTTTGTCTGACAAGTGAGTGAAGGACTTCTAGATAATCAGAATCAAGGACACCAAAGTAGACACTGTTAATAAAGAAGGAGAATGGCTGAAGAGCTGACCACCAGAGTGCCCACAAGGCTGCCTTGAGACTCAAATATGAGAATAAGATGTACAAAAGTAAGATCCAACTAAAAATTGAGAATGAAGCCAATTTAGATATAAACGGACTTTGTAATCAAAAATGGTGTTCCCAGTTTCTGAATTTTTATAGAAAGTCATGTCTCATTATACCACCTTGTTTGTAAATTACCCTTATTTTTCTTCATATTTATATATTATGTTTATATTTGGCAGAGATCACCTTGACTTATGCCTCAGGTGGTTTATTTTCTTCAATGGGTATAATCATACCTATTTGTTGAAATGGTGATTAGCT